CATCTCAAAATAAAAAATTAAAAAGAAAGAAAGAAAAGAAAAAGAAAAAGCTCATATCGTATCTCCCTTCTCACCCTCTGGGGGCTTCCCTGCTTTCAGGAGCCCCTGGCTGGCTACATCCGAAAGCACGGAGCCAGACCTCTGCAGCGCCCTCCAGCAGGCAGGTTCTGCAAGCAGCCAACTCCTCGAAGGCCAGAACACCCCCACATCATTCAGGAGGGTTTCACCACCTTTGAGAAGAGAGGAGTCCAGTGTCTGTTAGCTCTGGAAATGTGGGCATGTTCCCATTCCAAAGGCGATAGTATCCGAGGGAGGGATCCTTCCCATCTTCAAAGCCTTCCTAAAATCCCACTGACTAGCGGGGAAGAGTGCCAATCTACACTTTCCCTGAACCACCCACATGAAATTTAGCAACAACAACAAAGGAAAATAGTGGAGAAGGAGCATATGAATGTAAGAAGACAAGGCTGGACCTAGGAGAGTCCAGGTAGATAAAGGAATAGGGTTTACATAATGGGGAGCACCTGGTCTCCATTTCATGCTTCCAGCCTTGATGGGAGGAAAGTAGGTTAACCTTAAAAGGGATTTCTTTCCAGTGGAGACTGCAAGATACTATTTTTATCAACCTCGAAGGTGTACACCTTATCCTTGCTGACCCAAGCTATTCCAGTGATTTATCAACAGACATGGGTGGAACGAAATCCTTATGTTGACTCTTGATTAACAATATCCTGCATCTGTACAACCAAAGCAAACATCACCTCTTTTGATAAGAATGATAAACCCAAGTAGTAGGCAGAGTATGCTCTCCCCTTTCACAAATGAGAAGGCACATGGAGCGGCTTGCACAGAATCACAGTGCACTAGGCCCCAATCCCCACCAGACTCGGATCCCAGGCTTTCTACCAACCACTGTGGACTCAGAAGTATCAAGTGGTTCCAGATTCGTCATCCGAGGAAGGAATATGAACTGACTGGCATTCCAAGGGCCCCCCAAAACTAGTGTCTTGTTTTCTGCCTCCGTGCCCCTTCCTTCTTCCTGACTCTGCCTGCATGCATTTGACCCCTTCAGAATGAGATTAGAACAGCAAGGCAGAGCTCTGTACCTTTAGGAGCCACTCCCTCAACAAATGTTTGATGTTGGTGGCCTCTTGAGGCAATACTTACCCACTACTCAAGCATATGGCAATGGGGATAACAAAAGTAATATCCAGACACACTCCCCATGGCTGCTTCCTTGGCTCTTTCTCCGCTGTCAGATCTCAGCCTGAAGGTCACCTGGTCAGAGAGGTCCTTCCGGACCACTCTTTAAGTAGCTCCCTCCCCAGCCTCACATTGTATTGTTAACTATGTCTTTCCTTCACTCACAACAAAATTATTCCATTTATGTAATCATTTGGCTTTCTTCCCTACTGAAATTTAAGGCTCAGAAAGTGAGGCACCTTGTCCATTCTGATCACTTCTGTAGCACCTAGCACATAGTAAGCAAAAATTTAAAGAGTAATTAACAGAAAGAATGAGCTCTGCCATCAGATGTCTCTTATTTATACCCTGACACTAAATTGGAGTTAAATGTTGATCATCGTTGCAGCTGATGGGAGGCTAGGCATATGGGAGCTTGCTAGCCTCTTGACGTGTGTGTATATGCATGCGTGTGGGAAAATTTCAATTAAAAGCTAAAAGCAAAGTTGTTTATCCCTGGGATTTAACAGGCCTGAATAGCAGACCTCAAAGGGGGCTCCTAGGAAGGTCTCTCCCCAGGAATAGCCAAGCCTGCCATTGGCCACCCCAGTCCTTTAGATGAAAGGATGTACAGCTGAGAGGGAAATGCAGTATGTCATGGAATCCTCAGAGCTTCTGATGAGCACTGAAAGGAATGATACATTTGTAGAGCAATTACATTAACAAGATATTTTCACTTACATTTTCTTGGGATAACAACAGTATGAAGTATTATTATACCCATGCTTATTTTATAATTTATCTCATTCAAAGCCTAACTCAAAGGCTTTCAACTAGACAGAAATAAGATTCAAATGTAACACTTGCTAACTGAGTCTCCATTTCCTCATCAGGAAAATAAGAATGCCACCCACCTACTTCATGCAATGGTAGGGAAACTTAGAAGGCACTTGACAGTATGACAGACATGTGGTCCCTGCTCACCCACTCCTGGACAGAAAGGGCTGTGTCTTATCTTTTCTAATCCCATGCACTACCTAGCACAGAGCCTGGGTGTGTAATCATTTGAAAAATTTTAGAGACAAAAGGTCAACAGTATGTGGCAGAACAAGTGCTTGAATCAACACTTTCAAAGTTTTTTCCGCAACATCAGGCTGCTTCTCTGGTGGTTTGAAAATACTTTTTTTTAATCCCATTGACAGAACTTGGACCTACCTATAAATTCAATGTAAGCAAATAAAATAATTTTAGTCCTTCACAAACTTCCACTTTTTTCCTACTCCCTCCTCTAAGATCCTTGCTCTAAAAGTGTTTTCTCCCATAGGAGAAACATTTTTTACATTTGTTAAAAACTTTTACATTAACTGTAGTTATTAAGCTGTTTTACAAACTTTTATTATAGATTCCCAGAGCGCAGAGCTGCAACCCAACAAGATAGGAGAGCAGCAGTCTCCCACTAAGTCTGTACACAAGCTCCCCAGCCTCCCAACGCTAGGGAGCACGCCTCTGTGACCTCCCCAGATATTTTCCAGCCATCACAAAAAAAGTGTTTTGAAGCCCAAGATGAAAGGATGTGATCACAAGAGGCAGAAGGTATAGGCTGCTAAGAGAAGAAAACAAGAAGGAAGGTTTCCGTGTGATCAGGGCCAGGAAATGTGTGGGCAGGCGGTGCTCAGGGCTGGGCTTCCTACCACTGCAAAGAAGGGCAGGGAATAGACTTTGCACAGTGTTTGTGGTAAATGGCTTCCTGCCCCACAAAAGAGCACAGAAAATAAAAATAAACCACCCCATAGAGGTGTTGAGCTAGGGGAAGCTGGAAATGCTAGGGTCTATCTCACCCTGCATGCAGTAGTACTCAAAATCAACTCCTTCAACACACTTCAGCTGAAAAAACACCTAAGAATCAGAAAACTCAATGGGACTTGTGGGGTGTGGGGGGCAGGGGGTGGGGGGGGTTGTCTTTAAGTTTGAAACAGGGTCTCACTCTATTGCCCAAGCTGGAGTGCAGCAGCTATTCACAGGTCCACAGCTAATTCTTCAGTACATATGAAGTTGAGAACCATAAAGCAAGTCAACAGAAGCATAAAAACAGGAGTTATCTATAATGAGCCTTTAACTAAATCTAAACCCAAGACTCCAAAAGCAGTTTGTAGGTTTTAGTCCTGAAGCAAATATTGAAAAGACACACCAAAGAAAAATGTTTCCTGTTGATGGTAATTGGCTTGGGTAAATCACAACCTCTGAGACAATAGCTGATTTGATAAATGGGAATTTAATGCCTGTCTCATGTATATCAAGGTCATCACGAAAAACTAAACAAAACCTGTATATTAGAGTCTGAAATTACAATGTCTTCCTTCATAAAATTACTATTATCCCAGTTTTCAACCCGTCTCGAAGCTCCGATGCTTTTCTTATTCAAAATTCCAATTTCTCTAGACTAAAAATTATCCGGAAGCCTCCTGATAAAGGACTGTAACATCTGTATGTAAGTTTTAAAACAGATTAAACTGCTCAATCATAATCTCAGTGAACTAGTATCACTTAGGAATGGCAAACCATGACCCACATACCCACAACCAATCTTCATAAAGTGACAGTGGAACACAGCCATACCCATTTGTTTAAGGAAAAGCTTGCTGACTCTCGAGCTCAGTTGGCCAGAAAGCTAATAAGGAACATACAGGCCCAAGCGTTTCCCCGAGTAACCAGGTAATCTTGAGACACACCAAAATTTGAGTACCACTGCTGTAGATCAGGGTTTCTCAAACCTTAATGTGCACATAAATCACCTGAGGACCTTGTTAAAGTGAAGATTTTACTTGTGTAGGTTTGGGGTGAGGCCTGTGCTCCCAGGCGATGCCAATACTGGTAGTCAGTGACTACATTTTGAGCAGCAAGATTCCAGAGCAGTGTTTCTCCAATTTGCCGTGCACTGGAATCACCTGTGTAGCTTTACAAACTGCAGATGCCACCCCAACGAGATTTTTACTTAATTGGTGTGGGGTGTAGCCTGGACATTGGGATTTTCTTTTTACCTTCCCCAAGTGATGCTAATGTGCAGCCAATTTGCAGAAGCTCACAGCTCATCATCATTCTCAGCAGTCAGCTAAATTTAAGTAATGGAATTCTCAACATAGCTTACACTCCATATATAGCAATCCGACAGCACCCAAGATGGAAACAGGGCTGCCAGCATGACACACATCGATATGCCCAGACTTTAGCCAGCAGACCTACGTTCCACCAAAGATTTGTCATGAACTCTGATCTTAAGCAAGTACAAATCTGAGTTTCAATTTCCTCACCTAACTAATGAGGACAGGAATGCCTAAGATAATTGCAAGAATAAAATGAGAGAATATTTGTGAAGGTGCTTTGGAGAATATTGTATCTTATAAGTCAACAAAAACATAACCCCCATTTTTTACACTCTGTCTACACTGCCTAAGAGAAACATATTTCACTTTTACCACTAAAACATGTTGAAACATGTAAATGTGGACGCATATACTTAGTTCAATTTCTAGCGAAGTGCTTCATGATGCAGTCCCAGGAATGCACTGTGTCATAAGAGTGGAAGCACCTGTAACAATCGAAGGATTATCAAAGGAATACCTGCTCCAGGAAGAAGACAAAGGACTGCCATTTCCCAGGGTTGTCAGCATTGCCTTTTGCTATTAATTTCAAATACACTTAATGAAAACAACACGGTAGGTTCACAGCTGTACGATACCAACTCATAAAGAGTTCAGCACGAGCACTGAAGGGAAAAAAAGGATTGACACCAATAAAGAATAAAGAGCCAGAGGCACAAGGAGGAGATGCATGGAGTTCTTTAATTTCAAAGGCAAAAGGTTACATTTAATGAAAGGCAGAGGTTGGATTAATAAATGTGTGTTACAAAGTTGTTCTGCTACAGAGTAGACTCTGGATTTTTCTCCTGCATAAAAATCAGAGCTAGCAGTAAGTGCAAATCTGAAGAAAATCCATGTGCCCAACAAGCTGCCATCTCTAGAACTCTTATCCAGGAAATTCAAAGAGTGAACCTAAAAGAAAAAAAAACAAAGATTCAAAGTCTTATGATACTCCAGACAGGGCCCCAAATCCTTCAATCTAAAATCTAACCCACAAGACAGTTATGGAGTTCCTAAACTCAGGACAATATTTAAACCAGGCAAGAAAAACTGGAAAGAAGCAAGTGTTTTTCACAGAACATTTTATGGAAGTAGTATCCAGATAAATTAATGTTCAAAACTGAATTTCAAGCACACCAAGGCAAAACTGACTAGAAACTGGGAGTCGTGTGTTCTAACCTCAACTCTACCATTAATTAGCTCCAGGACTTCACATAAGTCACTCTGACTTCCCTGGCCCACAAATTCTTTGAGGTGAGAGGGTTGTAGTTTAGCCTAAAGATCTTTTCTGATACAAAAATGCTTATAAAGTGCAGATTTCCATTGGAGGGGAGGTAGGGTAGGGAATAAGGATTCAAGAAAGAAAATAAAGAAAAATTTCCAATCTCGGCTATAACAAAGGACCAAAATACAAGAAATAATTTAGCTTTCATTTAAAGATAACTTTATTTTTGGCAAGCAAAAGGTGAAGAAAGAATAACCCCAACAGAAGTGGCTACATTGCTGCTAGAACCAAATAGAACTGAGATTTCTACGTTGTGAGGTGGAACCCTCACCAAAAGACACAGGCTTCCTTTAGTCCCTCAAAGCACAAGCTTCCTACCTATTGGACTCCAGCAGGGGTCTGGTCAGAAATTCATCTCTGGCCCTAGGGGCTCCAATGTCTCCAGCCATAAGCAACTGATTTTCCCAGTGTGCCATAAAAATACTGTAATTGGCTGGGCATAGTGGCTCACTCCTGTAATCCCAGGGAGGGTGAGGCAGGCAGATCACAAGGTCAAAGATCGAGACCATCCTGGCAAACACGGTGAAACCCTGTCTCTACTAAAAATACAAAAATTAGCCGGGTGTGGTGGTGCATGCCTGTAGTCTCAGCTACTCGGGAGGCTGAGGCAGGAGAATCACTTGAACCCGGGAGGCGGAGGTTGCAGTGAGCCAAGATTGTGCCACTGCACTCCAGCCTGGCAACAGAGCAAGACTGTTTCAAAAAAAAAAAACAACTATAATCTCCACTGTGTGCCATGACTCAAAAAAAGCTGGGAAATACTACCTTTCAGAAGAACTGGGCTGCCTCAGTAGGTAAAAGGGCACTACTTTATTTGGTATATTGGGTCAAGTAAGTAACCTAGAGATTCTGGTATCAGAGCTTAAAGGGGCAGAATGCTTTTATTTCACTAACAATGGTATTTAGAGAAATGTTAAATAACTGCAGGACATTCCTTAATCAGTGGAATTATAAGATGTAAAAGAAACAGCAGTAACAGGGAGCAAAAGGTGTTCATAGTGCCAAACAAAACCAAACAGATCTATTCAAATTCATCTATTCACCCCATCAAACTTCTTAAAGCAAACTCTCTGGCAATAGACTATGAACCAATATAACATTACAGTTTTGGTTTTTTGTTTTTTTTTTTTCAAGATGGCGTTTAGCTCTTGTTGCCCAGGCTAGGGTACAATGGTGTGATCTCGGCTCACTGCAACCTCTGCCTCCCGGGTTCAGGCGATTCTCCGGCTTCAGCCTCCCGAGTAGCTGGGATTACAGGAGTGTGCCACTATACCCAGCTAATTTTTGGATTTTTAGTAGAGACGGGGTTTCACTATGTTGGTCAGACTGGTCTCAAACTCCTGACCTCAGGTGATCCACCCTCCCTGGCCTCCCAAAGTGCTGGGATTACAGGCGTGAGCCACCGCACCCAGTTACATTACAGGTTCTAATGGCCATGGTGAGAGAGGACTAGAGCATAAAGCCATTTTCAGTCAACAGAGCCTTGACACTTTCAGAAATATAAAAGTCCTAGTTTAGTACAAAATCAAAGTATCAAGGTTTTATGATATTAAAACATTTAAATCTAAGATGCTGAGGCCAATCCACATGAAAGGCAAAAACCGACTCATGAAAGTCTCTTTGATAACGGTTTTCGGAAAATCCTATTTACAAAGATCTGCTCCCCTCTTTTAAAGCAGATGTATTTCTAAAAGCAGAGGCTCTAGGATTCTTTGAAATGTTAGCTCACACAATTGACTATTCAACAGCTAGGAAGAATGGTTTCAACTGTTAACCAGGG